TGTATCCTTTTCTGATGAAAACGTGAAAGAGGTGTACCTGGTTTCCGTGGCACTCCGGCTGATATCACAACAATATCGGTACCCTCCAATGCTGCGCCTAATTCGTTTGGCCCATTGTGAGCAGTTACCTGAAGTAAAAAAATTATTATTATTATTATTATTATTACTACTACTACTACTACTACTACTACTACTACTACTACTACTACTACTACTACTACTACTACTACTACAGTGCTCGTGATTATTCATGTCTGCGTATCTTCTACGAATGAAGAAAAATCGGCTTTTAAAAAAAATTTAGACTCAGCCTCGAGCCATTGCCTGCAGTGAAATAGAAAGGAAAGAATGGACCATGGAGGCCCCGCCAAAAAGTAGTCATTTCAAGCAGGAATTTCGGGGTTGTGGTAGATATGCGATGGTAATTTACGGCTGTAGGTAGGCTGAAGAATAACAAATAAAGCAGAGAAGTGTGCAAAACCGAAGGAAATTCAGCACAGCTGAAGAATTCCATATGGTTCAAGAAGGCTGGAAGAATAGAATTTGATAAAGAATGGTAAAGTTGGACTAATGTAACACAGGAGTATGAGAATGTCTAAAAAAAAAATCGAACTAATTTACGTCTACAAAACATCTGAGCTAACAAAATTGCAACACCGTTTTGCAGATGCATAAACTAAACCCCTATAAAAAACAACTGCACTTTCCCAACAGTTCCTTCTGCTACTGGTTATTGCTAAAGTTTCTCATGCATTCAGACGCGTACCGCCTTTGTACCTTTCAATATATGAAAATAATTGGCCAACGCACAGGCTGCACGTGCGAAGATGCGTTTTTTTGCATAGTTTTCCGCAGTTTTTGTTGCTATCGGCATCGGTTTTTTCGGCAAATGCTTCTAGCTGAACAAATTAAAACTGGCAGCCAGAACTGGCAGGAAACAGCCCCTTAAAATTTCAGCTTTCTAGCTTTCCTGGCTCCTGAGTTATCACCTACTTGGACGGGGAACATCCCCCTAAGATTTCAGCATTCTAGCTTCTCAGATCCCTGAGTTGTGAACTTACCCAAAAAAAATTTTAGCGGGCCCGCACTCAAGTACCACGCGGTGATGGCGCCAATTTTGCGGATTGGGGCCGGACGTGCATGTAGATCATGTTCCCGAAATTTCAGCCTTGCAGCTTTTATAGGTCTTGAGGTGAAAGTGCGTGACAGACGCACACACAGACACACAGACAACCCCTCCGTCAATATGCGTTTTTGCATTGCATAGCTGCAAAAAACGTCTTGATTTCAAAAAAAAAAAAAAATGATCAAAACTGGTTGCTAACAGATCACGTTCAAAATCGCGTCACGGCACATTTGGCTCACAAAACACAAGCAATTAAAGGATAAAGAGAAAATAAAGAAACAGAAAAGATGAAGAAGGGAAGAAATCGAAGAAAAAGCGAAGTAAGAAGGGGAAGGAGGACCAAGGAAATATTTGTAATAGGTAAGAAATGTTTCGGTCCATTAAGTCGCATATCTTGCCTAATATAGCATAACTATAAAAGAGCCATCGCTGAGTGCCAATAGAACCGAAAGCTTCGATACCTTTCAGAGAGGAAAAAGAAGAGGCTTGGAAACTAGAAATTTTTTTAAAATTTCTGATGAATTGGAGCTGCTCAGAAAAATTTTGGCGGTCAAATTGGCTCATGGGTGAAACCACATCATTTTCTCATTGTCCCTTCCAGCAAGTAGCAAAAAACCGAGAAGGGAACGCCGATCTTATAAGAAATAGAAAGGGCAGAAGGGGCCATGGAGGACCGACCAAGAAGTGATCATTCCAATTGTAATTTTAATTTTAGATGATGTGTGTTTATGTAAAAAGTAAGGGTTAAAAAGAAAGGAATAGAAGAAAGGTGAATAAGATAAATCGGATTAAAAAACCTGAAGAGGAATGTTTCGGTCCATTAAGTCGCATACAAACAAGAATGGCCAATTTTACTAGAGAAAAGCATGCGAAACGATGGAACCTGAGCAACCGAATCGATATGCGAGATATCGGCGCCAACGCCCGGTGTTCCCTTAATATCGTAAAGTGCCAATTTTCGAATATTCGAATTCAATTTCAGCAGCAACGCAAGCGGTTGTCCGATTCCTCCGCTAGCTCCGAGAAGCGCAACCTAAAATACATTGAGCAGATCGAAATCTACGAAATTTTGTTAATCCTAAATCCGCTTTTTTTTTTTTAAATTTCAGTAATCCCATGGGTGATAAGGGGATCAGTGAGGTCCAGACGTTCTTTTATCCGAGGAATTTTACTACTCTTTGTAAAAATTTGACGAAAACATCAACACGTATGAACAAAAACACCAAAATTCTTCAACTCATTTTGGAAAAACGAAAAATTAAAGTTTTTGACTGTTCCGAATCCCTACCCTGTCTTATTGCTGAGGGCTGTAAACTGAGATTTTTGTGCGGAATTTTTGTGTAAATCCAATCAGCATGATCAAAATAAGGGGAAGCAGATGTAAGTCCAATTGTGTAAATCCAATCAGTACGATCCCTGCTGATGATGGGCTTTTTATAGAACAATTCCTGGAGTTCACAGCTGATGACGGGTTTTTACAGAACAATTCCTGGAGTCCCCAGCTGATGATAGGCTTTTATAGGACAATTCCTGGAGTCCCAGCTGATGACAGTTTTTTATAGGATAATTCCTCGATCTTCCATGGGACGGGAAAAAATAAACACTACAGAAAATAAAAGGGAAACGGGAGAGCAAAGGCAAAATCAGTCGTTTTTGAGTTCAATTACACTACCACGTTTGGCGCAAAAGTGGTACAATTCGCTGTACGGTAAAAAATGTATACGACTTAATGGACTGAAATATTTCTTATCAAATTAATAAAATTATTAATACTTCCTCCCCCCCCCCCCCC